TGGCATGTGGTGCTGGGGATTGAACCGCGGTCCCTGATGCTTTTGCTAAGCTTGTTCTAAGTAGGTGCTTTAGACCACTGAGCCATCTCTCCAGCCCCTATAAAATGTTATTTATTCCAAAATATTTTTTGCAAGTAGACATCTTTGCATATATTTGTAATTATCCTATTTAAAAGTGACAAAAATCCTAAAATTATTGTGGTCTAAAATATTTCCTTTCTGCCAACATTTAAAAAAATGTCCCTAGTAGTAATTAATTTTCTCCTTCCAACATATTGTCCTTCGAGGTAATGAGCTATTACTATTGCTTATGTATCATTGTCTGCTTTGAATTATAGCAGCAATTACGCTACTGCACATAACTTATGTCATACATAAAATAATGTAAATTATAAGCAATTTTCCTCATATAGAAGCTCTTGTACCATTTATCATTTACATTTTTTCTTAATTTTGCTATGAGACATTTATATATTAAGGTTTTAAAAATTTGCATTCTTTTGTTTATTTTTGAAGATAGCTGAAAACATTTAAATTCAAATAATTCCTGTGTGACATTATTCTTAATTCAGTGTGGCAGTTAAAGAAATCACGTACTTAATCTAAAAGATATTTACAGAAAACTGTGAAGTGCTGTCCCTTTATACTTTGGGTAATATCAAACATCATTTTCTGTGTAATATATGACTTGTGGAGTAACTATGTATGTATTAAGTCTTCTATGTGTTATGCTGTTTGTCTAGAAATTACAGATTTAGATTCCTAATAAGGTTTATGTTCTCTGTGATTTTACCTATGCAGAATATGGACTATAAATAGGCATGAAGAAACTTGACAAGCAAAAGCAAAACAAAATCTATTTCTTAAATTTAAAGAGAAAGCCTTCTGTTTCATTTTGATGGATGTCAATGGTATGCAGTTAGATCACACATATGATCTGAACAGAGGACTCCATTTCCAAGGGTGTAATAGCAAGTTTATTTTTTTGTTTTTTATTTTTATTAATTTTATTGAGGAACAAATAGCAATGAGACACTTTTAAAACCAATTAGTAGGACAGTTTCTATAATTAATACATTTCATGTTGTTGTCTTCCTAGTGGTTATTCATAGAACATGAGACAGACATGATATCCTGTCCAAGTGCTATTAGTACAAATCTTTCTTCTCATTGAATTAAGAGAAAGCAGCAGTGTATCTATCCTATTTTGTATATACAATCTGGTCCTTAATTTTCATCCCTTTCTTTTTTAGTATTGTCAGAGATGGGTATTCCATTGCCATCTAAATATTGTAGGTGGGTTTAACTCATTGTGAGGGGTAGGGGTGTTCTGTACTTTAGATGTTTCCATCTCTGTGCACTCTGCAGAATCGGCATTCTGTTTGGACTTTAGCATCTAATTGTTTACTTAGCCAAAGAGTTCACATCTGTGAGCTTTGTAAGGATTGTTGTGGTCTCATAGAATCATTCTTAAGATGAAGGAAATAATCATATGTCTCCTTTTCTCAATTAGTAATGCTCAATATAACTATGTTTATAGTAGATCTTCTGAATTTCTTCATGTAGACCTTTTGCAGGCAAGTAACATTCAACAAGAAAACTTTGAAACCTAGTAATGTTGCTAATTAACTTGTATTAGAGCTAGCTGAGAAAGTCTCTTTCTGAACTCATCTTGGGTCCGAACTCAGGGTAATGGAAAGAATCTAGGACACCAAAATTTTCCTCAGGGTCTTCATAAAGTCTTTTTATTACTTCATGTCTAGTGAATTTCAAACTTCTGCAAACTCACAATTAAGTGAAATATGAAGATTTAAAAATAATTTCCCTAAGCACCTTTCCATTTGTGCAAATGATTATGCATAAAACATCTTCATTAACAACAAAAAATATTAAGCTCAAGACAGATATCTTTTAAATGCCACCAAGAAAATCCATAAAACTCATTTTCTAATAGACAGTTTTCCTCTAACGCTTCCCACAGTTGCAAAAAGAAAGTTAGGAAGTTCTCCAGTCATTATTTTAATATTTCTGAGAAAAAATGGTTTGAGTCTTCATTTTGATATAGAATTGAGTCATAGAATATCACTTTTTTTGTAAAATAATCTTTTTGATAAATTATAGTAATTTTCTGTCCAGTCACACCACCACTTGGGTTCTGATGATGTTATCATGGCCTGACACTATTAGTCCTGTCAAGTTTTGAATTATCTCTAATAAAATATCATCAAGTCTGCATAATTTCATTAACATTGACCCTCTCAATTAAAATCTGTTAACAGGAGAATTTCACTGTGGATTTGAAGATGGTAACATTTGTTTGTTCACACAAGATGATACAGATAATTTTGATTGGACAAAGCAAAGTACTGCAACAAGAAACACAAAGTATACCCCGAATACAGGACCTAATGCTGATCGCAGTGGCTCCAAAGAAGGTAGGAGGCTATGCACTATTATGACCCCCGCAGTCAGAGACTTTAAAAAATGTTACTCACATTACATACAGGAGACTATCTAGCTCCCTATTTGAATATTAGAGAATAAAATGTTATATTTTATGAACATAATCAACAATTTATGTACTGCTAAAATTACCAGGAAGTAATTTTCTTGCAAAGCTCACTGATATATACAGATCAGAACATTTTCATTTGATAATTCAAGTCTAAAATTCCAGTTTCCCTGCAGTTTTTATATATTTTATCCTTAGTTTATTCTGTCAGAGCCATTATTTATTGTGTGAATGAGTAGCGATTTTATAAATGGCTGTAAACTCTGATTTTAATTTTTACTTTGTTAGAAGATTTAAAAACTTATCGCTTTGGAATGGCACATTGTTGAAACATACAATGTATGTAAATGACTTATTTTGCCTATTTTAAGGTTTCTATATGTACATTGAAACATCTCGGCCCAGACTGGAAGGGGAAAAGGCTCGACTCCTCAGCCCTGTCTTCAGCATAGCTCCCAAAAACCCGTATGGCCCCACCAACACCGCATACTGCTTCAGCTTCTTTTACCACATGTATGGACAACATATAGGTGAGACGGCAAGAGGTGCTATTTGATGTAAAGTCAGTCAAAAGGAAACAATTTTGGTCAAGGAATGCGATCATTACCTTTTTAAATGACTTACTAGCAACGGAAAATAAAATGCTGGGAGTTCTGTCCATTCATCGAATTTCTGAAAAATCAGATTATAACTTGAAAATCTGAAGTATCATTTCCGTTCCCTGGAGTCCTAATTGAGGAAGGCCACCAATGAACTAAAGGTTTTCCAAGATTTTGTGGAATTGGTGCAGCATAAGTTGGGCTGTTTCTTTCCAAAGAAATCCGAATACACAACACTTAGTGCACCGTAATGGTGATACATGGAAGTTTGCCCTATTAGTGCATTGGCAAGTACTCTCCGCGCTAACCATGTTCTGTACTTTGAATATTGATGCGGAGTTTGTCTTGTTGTAAAGCAAATTTAACAATAAGGCTTTCAATGTCAAAGATCATGAAAAAAATGCAAAGGTGAAGACAAGTGGCCTGCTCTGTGAGTTTGCAATAGTAATAAGTAAATGCACGAGCGTGGTACATCAAGTTCCACATGAGAATGAAACCAGGCCTTGCAAAAAGGGGGAAGAAGGGAGAAGGGTGGTGTAGATCTCCAATTATTTCATTTATTTATGTGTTTATTTTTGTGCCTGGGATTGAACTTGGGACCTTGTGCTTGCCAAGCAGGTGCTTGTGCTGCTGAGCTATATCCCCACCCCCTAGAACTGCAATTTTTGATATGCAATTCTGAACACTATAGAATGGAATACCAAATATTTTTTAAATTAATCATTTGATAGTACATGTCAGCTTGAAATATAAATGTTAGAAATGACCTAGATTAATATGAACCTACTTTAGAATTATTTATCCAAGCAAGTATCAACTTTTTTAAAAAAAAATGTATTTGGTTGTTACAGGGTTTCACTATGCAGCTCGGACTCATGGTGATTCTCCTATTTTCAGCCTTCCCAGTGCTGGGATTACAGGAGTGCACCACTACACCTGGAATCTGGCTGACTCAGCCATCTGGGGGCAGGGATGGCGTGGCATGTGGTGCAGGGGATCGAACCCCAGCCCCTGCATTTACCTAAGCTTGCCTAAGCAAGCACTGTAGTGTGCAGAGGTATTTCGCTGACCCCAAGTACCAACATTTTCATGAATCACCTTAGAAATACATCCATATTCAATCACAGGATTCCACACTCTACACCTTACCGGAAAATGTCATATATTATACAACAGGTATAGTCTCTAATTTTTATAACATAACACAAAATTCTGAATAGTGAAGCATATCTAGACCAAAGGAAATGTGAAACCTAATGTAAATGCAGTACAAGGCTATGCTTCAAGACAAAGAAAGCAGTTTCTCCTGGGTAAGCACAGAGATGTGTTTTGCATAGGTCAGGGTTAGTTTACAGTTGTAGAAGATTCAGCAAGACCCAGGGATTGCTTGGATTACTTCTCTAAATTTACACAACAAATATTTGTGTTCCTGAAAGTAGTTATTGTGTGTCACAGATGAGTAGACTTAACAGCCTGTGAATTTTGCTTATTATGTCCATTTTAGTCTGGTTATTACTGAAGCCATAATGCCAAGCTTTGCAGCCGCACTCAGAATCTTCTGTTCCTCCACTCTGCACAGTATGTATTGGAGAACCACGACCGCTTAACGGAGTGTATGACACTTTTACTAGTCAGACTGTGTTTACATAGATTTTGTGAAGACTAACAAAAGCATTGGTTTAAGAAAATAAATACATATGAACAAGTAAAAATTTTTTCTAAACAGTGTAAAATGCAAAGCACTTATCTCTGAACGTAGTCATGGTGTCAGCAAGGCATAGACTATGACAAATATCTGCCTATAGTTATCGATTCATCTCATTTATTGTCAGATAACTGCTTGTTATCAAATGTAGAATTAGCACAATTCTAATTCTTTGTAGTTGATCACTGTATTTTAAAATAGATAATGAGCTTATTGAACTTACTCTTTTCTAATTTGCTGTGGAACACATAGTTTTATTATGGAACAAGTTTTAAGTTAACAATCCAAAGACCAGCATTTAATCCATCTGAAGGTACAAAAATATGTATTTGGGCCAGGGAGATAGCTCCATTGCACAACTGCATGCCTGGCAAACACAAGGTCCTGAGTTCAATCCCTGGTACCAAAAATAAACAAACAAACAAGTAAATAAATAAATAAATATATGCATTTATATATAAGATGGATCTTTTAAGACTATCTATCAAAAGGCATTTGTGGTGAATCCAAGATAATTTTAATGCACTTTAACTTTGAAACTATTATTCTTTACGTGGTTTTTATTCTGATTATTTTAGGGGAGATTTCAGTAGAGCAGTTCTTCATTTCTTAGTAACCATTAAGTTTTGAGCCCTTGTGTGCTATTTTTCATCTTCATCAGATCCTGAAAGGAGGTGGATAAAGTGTCAGATCTGTCACTTGAGTCTTTCCAGCAGAGCAGGAACATGCTACTTACCAAAATCGAGGCCACTATGCCTGCTCCAGACGTGGGGAAATGAGTTGGAGCAGATGGGACCCAGTATACATCATTGTATTTCACTGTGCTTTATTTTGCTTCACAAATTCTGCCTTATTTTACAGACTGAAGTCTTCTGGCAAACTTGCCTCTAGCTAGTTCATCAGTGCCCTTTCCTGGCAGCATGCTCATTTTGTGCCCCATTATATTTTAGCAATGTCCACACTATTTGGACTTCTTTACATTTATTGTACCTTTCATGGTGACCTGTAATCAGTCATCGCTGATGCGATTGTAATATGTTCTGATTTAATATTCACCTCCATGTGATTGCTAAACTGATAAATGTGAGAGCTGACTGCTCTCCCACCGGGCAGGTGGGGCAGGGCTCCCATCTCTTTCCTCCTGTTGTACTGAGTCACAGCAGTATGGAAGCCAATGAATGAGTGAACAATGATCTCGTAAGTGTTTAAAAAAATACTCACATGTCTCACCCTTTCCATAAACATTATGAAAGGATCAAGCTTGAGAAGAAGGTATACCAAAAGGTAACAAAATGTGACTGTAAAAGAAATTTTTTTTTTTCTGTATTTTAGGGAAGGGCCTACAGGGTGCTCAGGGTCTCACTACTAGATCAGACTCATAGTGATTCTCCTGTGTACAGTCTCCCAAGAGCTGGGATTACAGGTGCACGTCACTATGCCCAGTCTCAATCACTAACTCAGCATGCCCCAGGGGTGGGACTGGCACAGCAGGCTGAGGATTGAACCCTCAGCCCCTGAACCTGCTTTCAGATGCTTTAATCCACTAAGCTATTTGGCTGGCCTTTGTAAAGGAAAAGATTTTGAAAGAAGTTAAACGTTCTGCTCCAGTAAAGATACAAATGTCAAGAAACTGAAAAAGTCTCATTTCTCTTTTTGAAAAAGTTTCATTGATATGGACAGATTGAGCCAGCCACAATTTCCCCTTAAGCCAAAGCCTAATTCACAGCAATGCTCTAACTTTATTTCTAAGCAGACTGAGAAAGATGAGGAAACTGCAGAAAAAAATACAAATTTACAGAGGCTTTCTTGTAAGGATTAAGGAAGAAAAAAGGCATTTCAATGAAATGACAGTGTGTGAAACAGCAATATTGTTGGAAAAACTGTTTTATATCATCCTGAAGTTCTTGATGGTAATGAAGCTGCTATATGAAACAACATAGTTTCAAAGAAGAGAAAGACAGGTGAGGTGTGATGGCACATGCCCATAACCCCAGACCTGAGTGGCTAAAGCAGGAGGACTGCTGTGAGTTGAGACCAGCATGGGCTATAAAGTGAGTTCAAGTCCACCCCAACTGCATAGGGAGACTATTCAAAAAGACAAACAGAAGAGGAAGAAGAAAAAGAAGGAGAAGGGGAGGGAGAAGGAAGGGGAAGGGGAAGTAGAAAGGGAAGG